AAAACTCCAGGTACAAATAAAATGTCTCAATAATCCCTCGGTGGTGCGGCATCGGCCAGGCATTGAAGTCGGCTAAAGGTCACCGCCACTTCGCGTTCGGTCACAATCATTAGTTTAAGTATTGTGTCGTAGAATTTACTTAATTATTATGTGGAAATTTATTTATTAGAATTTACTCGGTATATTATTTGGGATACTATTTAAAATATTATTTAGAAAATGTTTGAGAATTTATTGGAAATAAGAGGCAGAGTTTATTTAAGAATTTATTTGAGAGAAAAGTCCAGAATAAAAATTAGACTAAAATTAAAAGCAAGTCAAGAATAATTATTGAATAATTAATTAACAAAACCAGGAATTATTTCGGATTGTTAATTTACTACGTAGACAGAGCTTGAATTGGTTTTACCAGGAATAACTTCGGTTGGTCAATTTATAACTTTGGCGCCATGTAAAATTAATTGTCGTTAATAATCGAGTTTGGAAATTTATTTAATTAATTGCTTAAAGTAGATTCATTAAAATATTTCAGAGGAATTTTAGTAAAATCATTTGAAGTAAAATTTATTAAATTCGGAAAAATAATTTATAACAAAAATTTAATTGTGTAAATAAAATCATTTGCAATAAATTTAGAATCAGTCAAAATTGCAAGAAAATTGTTCATGTAAATTTATTAATTGAAAGTAGAAAACGAAACTTGTAAAAATTTATTTGAAAAAAAATTACCAAAAATGTGCGACAAAGACGCCAGACCGAGCGAGAGCGTCAGCCATCTTGTCCCGCGCGAAGCGCTGAGTAGAGGACATTCAAAGTCGAGACTAAATCGTACTGTGTTGTTAGGCAGAATATAATCCTCAAACAAAATAAAATAAATGCTAAGTTTTTCATGCAACACAATAGAACGTAAAATAAAATAACGTAGAGAAAATAAAACTCGATTATTGAAGGACAAGCCAAGCAGTTTAGTAAAAATAACTTACATGAAATTAATTGATAAAATTTTAGTCATTGAAAGTTAAGATCTTAATTAAATAAAATAATCTGGACAAAATAAATAATTCCATAAGTTCGGATTAAAATAAAATAAATTAATAGATTCTGTAAAATGAATTAAAATAACTTGGAAAATAATTAATAAATTCTAGTAAAATAAATTAGACAAAGCCAAGTAATTTAACACAACAACTTATAAAAAAAAAATAAATTAAGTAAATTCAGTACATTAAAATTGTAACTCTCGGAAGTAACCAACACATTGTTGGCAGATTATTAAGACCTCTGTCAATAGATTTTAACCTATTAATACAAGATACGAAGACCTCTTGATATTAAATATTTAATTGTTGTATTATTAAGACCACGACATTAAATTAGTTAGTGATTTTAATTTAAAATTAATATTAGGAATTTTAGAAATAAATTAGGAACTCGGGTTTTGTAATTTGTTGAAGGAATAAATAGATCCAGGCATCGAGTCGGATTTCATTTGATTTTGGAGAATAAATTTGTAAAATCCGGAGTAATATTTAGTGGGTTTGGAAATAATAATGTGGGTGGGTTTTAGTGTTAAGTATTATAGTGTTGCCTAGGGATTCATGGTATCCTCCTCTGCTTCCTGGGCACACTTAGAGTCCTTTGCATAGACGCCCGGGTCGGGGGTGCAATAGGCATAAGTATTTTAAATAAATATTGTGGGTTTGTTTGGAAAATGATAAATAATATTGCAGCGTAGCCTAGGGATTCATGGTATCCTCCTCTGCTTCCTGGGCACGCTTAGAAGCCGTTGTATAGACGCCGGATTTGGGGTACAACGGTAGTAAGCTAGAAACCGCGGTATAGACGCTCCATATGAGGGTACTGTTCGGGAATAGATACTATGATAGGAACCGCGATAGGACGCTCCATAAGAGGATATTGTCGGGATTAAGTTAATTTGATATTTTGTAAGGGGTTTTGATTTTGTATTGAGGGTTAGATAAATAAAATGAATTGTAAAAATGAATTTCTGATTATAATTTCTGTATCCTTCCTGATAATCTCTCCGACCCTGAGTTTTCACTCCTTGTTCTGGGCCAGTTTCTGGATACTGTGGGAAAAATCCAGTGGCGCCTTAAATAAATTAAGAGGCGACCAAGAGAGCGGTGAATACCCGTTACAAAGGATTCTTACATAGATTTTAACTTGAATCAATTATTTACAAATTTTTACAATATCTATATGGATCTTATATAATAATAAATAATATAATTTAACTATATTTATATGTATAAGAGTAGTAAAATAAAAAAAAATATTTGCAGTTCATTAGATATCTTCTATAACTTTTACAAAATCAGTTGAGAAATATTTTTTTTTTTTCAAAGTTAAAGAACTAAACTTGTTTTCAAAACGTTATAACACTTGCGTTTGAGGCATAGCAGCATTTTTTACTTGAAGGATTTTTTTCAAAATGATGGATGAAAAACTTTCTTCAAGAATTATTACATTAATTTTAACTTGACTCAATTATTTACAAATTTTTACAATGTGTACATAAATCTTTCTAGTCACCAAAACATCCTTTTGGTATTTTTAGTAGATTTCATAGAAATCTAACTATTGCATTTGTCCTCATGACGCAACTTTTGAAAAATTTTGGTATTTTCTGACTTAGTTCGTCAAGCTGGTTCAGAAAATGCAATTAGTTCAAAAATTTATATATGTATGTATTTATATATATATATATACGATATACGATATAACGCGGCTTATCCGGACGATAGCGTCTATAGTTATTAATGTACTAGTATGTGAATGTGTAAAATTAGTTTCTACAACTTCAGTGATAGAAAAACTATAATTGATTGTTTTAATCCAAGAATTTTTTATCTTTAATCTCATCATAGAAATACTATATAAAAATGACCAAAGTAATATTTAAATCATTATATCTCGACAAAAAAATGATAAAGTGTTACTGTTTTTTTTTTAATCAATTAATAAAAAAAAATATTCTTTTTTTTTCCGATTCTATCGAAGAATTTTTTTAATATAACAGAGAATATTTGAGTAGTCAGAGAGTTTTAAAATGTCATGAGTTAGCTGAAAATTATCAATTTTTTAAATTCTTATAACAAATCAATTACAATAATAAAAAAACTTTTAAAAATTTCCACTAATAATATTTTTTAATTTTCACAAGTGGAATTTTTTAATTAAATTTTTTTCATAATTATTTCATTGTTATAAAATTATAAAAAAATTTCTAATGTCTCTCAACTTCAGTGTCATTAAATATCTTGCATCCTAAATGGTAAAAAATTCTGGAACTTCAAGATTTATTAGTAAACGTTATTCTTAAACCGTAAAAAATGAGTATGCATGTATACGCGCTATAATTATTGTTTAAAATTATTACAATAATAATGAAGTAAAAATTAGGTGCTAAATATATTTTACTTACGTAGAATAAAAAATCCCATTTATTATTCGATGAAAGTCAAGTCTTATTCACACTTATCCTCCAAATTCAAATTAATAAATACTAATCCGTAGTTCAAATATAGCTATATGTATATGAATTTAATCTCTTGAATCGACAAATTAAAAATGTCTTTGCACTCAAGAATCAAATGTGCTAGTTATTATTAAATAAGCTCAATAAAGTCAGAATCGAAATTCGGATATTTTATTTAAAGAAACCGTCTAGGTCAACTTTGGGTCGCTATTTTTATTTTCTTCACTCATAAATTTATTTCCGATTAATTATATGTTTTTATTGATATTATTTGTCTTTATTTCAGATGCTGATTGGATATGAATCTGGACAAATTGCTCTTTGGGATTTGAAACTAAAGACTGCGGAATGGAGATGTCAAACTGACGAACCATTACGATCGATCTCTTGGCATCATGAGGGTAAACAATTTATGTGCAGTCATACTGATGGTTCCTTATCTACGTGGTTTTTGAAACAGGCTAGACCTATCAGCGTTAGTCACCCTCACGGTATGGATAAAATACAAATAATAAATCATTATTTCTAGGTCGATTTTCAAAATAGGAAGAAACTGTTCAAGTTCTAGATTTGTTTTTTTTTTTTTTATTACTATTAAGGTACAGTACCTGTACTGAACACAAAAATGGAATCAATACTTGAACAGACTTTTCGAATTGTTGTAATACAAAATTGCCGTATATTACCGTATATTTTATTAGTTCAACTACTGCTCCCGGAGCGTTTAACTACTACGGCTTGTCAGAATTGATTGTTCAACAACTCCTTTCATAGTATATCTTAAAAACGTTGTCAAAATATAAATATTAAATTATCTTTGTTATTTTGCACTTCAATCAATTCAAAATTGTTTACATTTTCATGAAAATCACTAATTTTAACTAATAATTACATCTTTATATATTAAACGTAGGGTCAAATATGTTTTACTTTGAAACCTGTTCAACTACTGGGTATTTTATCTTATTAATATTATTAATAATTAATTAGTTAAAATTATAATGATGAAAAATATTCAAACGTTATGATTCTTGAAGGATCTTCTAAAACAATTTATAAAAGTTATGAAATATTTCAAAACTTTGAAAGTATTCTTAAAATTAGTGAAACTTATGGAAGGTTTTAAGAAGTTTTAGTATTTAAGAAATATTTTGAAAGGTGCTCTATCATTCAAAAATTTTAATGATTTAACCAATCTAATAATATTGTTGTGTTAATATAAAGGAAAAATGATTACTAATCAATAGTCTATAATAACCGGTATTGTAAAAAAATGTTTAGATTGATTAGATAATATTAAATTTTTCAGCAAAATTGACCAAAGATGGTGAGCCAGAGCCTTGCAAGCCAATTCAAAAAGTTGAATGGAAACTTCATCGTTCTGGGTGATTTATCATTTATTCAATAAAAAATTAAATTATTTTCATTTAAGCATGATTTTATTAATTTTATTTTTAATATTTTTAGTGAATCATATATTATATTTTCTGGTGGATTAGCTTGTGAAGTAACTGGAAGAACACCAAGCATCACTGTTATTCAAGGAAAAACTACAACAGTTTTAGAAATGGAGCACAATGTTGTCGATTTTATAACCCTTTGTGACAGTCCGTACACAAGTGGTAATTGAAAAATAATATTTTCATGTTTTAGTTTTGCAAATACAAAAAAAAAAATGTGAGTTATATCAGTATGGATACAGACATATCTCTCGTAGGCATGTCTGTCTAACGTCACTTAATTCATGTTGATGGGTTTCCGATAAAATGTTAAAACTTTCTTTTTTAATTACTCCGTCTATTTTACTCTTCATAATCTACACTATTTGATTATACAGTATATTTATAAATTTTTTTTTTGAACTAGATTTTCAGGATCCTTATGCAGTGGTTGTTCTACTATTAAATGATTTAGTAGTAATTGATTTATTAACACCGGGATTTCCTTGTTTTGAAAATCCATATCCAATGGATTTACATGAATCACCGGTTACTTGTTGTGCATATTTTGCTGATTGTCCGGGTGATTTAGTTCCGGCATTTTATTCTGTTGGCTCTAAGTCACAGAAAAAAACGGGATTTAGTGAAAAAGAATGGCCAATTTCTGGCGGCGAATGGAGTCCTAATTCAAGCAGTTATAATGAAATTATCGTTACTGGGTAAGTAACATACATTGTCAAATGTTAAATTTTAATTTAATTGACAATACAATGGACTACCGATAAATCGAACTTCAAGGGAAATGATAAAAACTTCAAGTTAATCAATTTTCAACTTAACAAGATGTTCGAAATTTGCAAGTAGACCAAAAATTAAGATAACACTTGATCTCTGTTATATGAAGTATATTTGTTTTAAAAAATTATGAATTAATAAGGTAAAAAATATTACATAAAGTCTATTATTTTTTTTCTGAAACAAAGAATTGTCAAATTTGTTATCAATTAATTTCTCAAGGTTAAATAGTGAATCAAATACATGATCCTCAATGTCCACAAACAAAAATATAAAAAGCATTGAACATTCCTATCGGAATTTAGATTTTATTGCTATAAGCTTGGACAGTTCCGAGAAAAACATCTTTATATTTTATTAATTTTGACTTATAGAGTTTCACTTTTAAAATTCGAGTTATAGAGTCTAAATAATTCGAGATATCGCGTATTTAAGAGTTTAGCGGAAGAAAATACAAATTACCGAGAATCCACTGTAATGATTATGATGATTGATTGAGACCTTTTTTTATTTAAATCAATAATAACTTTGCTTTCAGACATGCAGATGGCAGTATAAAATTTTGGGATGGGTCTGCAGGTTCATTACAAGTATTATATAAATTAAAAACAGCCAAGTTGTTTGAGAAATGTAAAACTAAAAGCTTAGATAATGATGAGGATCCACTGGCCATACAATTAATGTTTTTATGCCCCGAAAGCCGTAAACTAGCTGTTGTTGGCGCTGGTCGCCACGTTATTTTATTCAAGTTTAAAAAAGTTGAAAGTATGTCAGAAGTTGTGGTAAGTATAATTAATTGTTCAAAAATTAACAAATAACAATTAGGGTAAAAGACCTCATTAGCGGCGGGGATTCCATCACTGACACTGTCTTTGATTTTGGTACTTATTCAATTAATTAAATCATTCATTTTTATTATGAACTAGCTGACCCGGTGAACTTCGTATCACCTACGATATATTTTATTACACTTTTCGATCAGCGATTATCAATCTTTAAGCTCTACTTTGATAAAAAATAAATACTGGCTGTATAAAGTGCGGTTAGAATTTTTTCAAGTTATTGAATGAAACTCGCTTCTCATTATTGCCTGAAAATCAAGATCCCAAAAAATCAACACTGAATTTATGAAATTTTTTTTTGTCCATATATAAAGAAGATCGACGATTAATAATTTTAGAACTGTTGACTTTTTTAGCTGAATTTTCGGATTTTCCAAAAATTTTATTCTTTTGAAAATATCCCTGAACTATAGCGAACAAAACAAAAAAAAATTATCAAAATCGGTCAAGCCGTTTTTGAGTTATAGCCAGACTAACGCACAGCAATTTATTTTTATATTTATTTATTTATTTATTTATTTATTTATTTATTCATTCATACGCCAATCGGCTTTATACATTAGATTTACATCAATTATTTTTGATTATGGATGAAAAAAGAAAATAAAAATAAAAATATGTAAATAGAGTATTAACATTTCAATAGAATTAAATTTAAATTAAGTTGTATTAAATCAATTTCATTTACTTTATAAGTTTAAATTATTAATATTATATATAAAAAAAAAAATATCTCCAAGAGTAGTTATTTCTAGATGAAATGAAATTGCACTTTTTAAGAGGCTAGTGGTTATTGGTTAGTGGTTAGAAGCAGTCTTTTAACCGATGATACAAACGATGTGATCGAGGTGTCGAATAATTCAAGGCGCGAGCAATTATCATTGATTAGATTAGCGATCCTATTCCTCGGGCTATTATATATATATAACTTTTGGTAGTTTTATATATATTATTTATTAATTTTTATTTAAAGTAAGGTAAAAGACCCAGTTATTGACACTGGCTTAATTATTGACACTTGCAATTTTATTTTAATTAAAAAAAAACAAATCAACTCTAATAAATTAATAAATATAGTTTTTGAATTATAAATTTTAAGAAAATTAGTTTTTTGAGAACATTTAATTTTAGTAATTAAAATAAAATTGCAAGTGTCAAACAACTAGGCCAGTGTCAATAACTGGGTCTTTTACCTTAGAACATTTTTTTATTGAAAGAAAAAGTGCCGCTAATAGGGTCTTTTACTTTACAATTATAAATTATTTATAATTTAAAATTTGAATTTTAGACACTAGAAATTTCGCTGACTGGTGACGGTAAAGATACTGAAGGTTCACCAGATCCCGATTTAGATCCTTGTCAAATTCCGGGTGTCGAAGAATCACGAGCTGCTGAAGCTGCAAATTCATTAAAGGTCAAGGGAGGTTTGCAGAAACGTGCTGCTGGATTTCAAGCAACTTTAATCTGTTTAACGTCTAATAGTGGCGGTGAACAGACGGAAAACATCACATCACTGAGCCTGAATTCATCTTATGGCCTGTAAGTTTGTCTATTACTTTATTTATAACTTGGAAAAAATTGCATTTTTTTAAATGGGACATCTGTATATGTATACATAAATAAAATAAGAGATATTGGTAGGCTTGAGTTGATGACACGAGTCTAAAGTTATGGCGCATTCCCATCGGGATCAATTATATTATTCATCCAGCCCCTAGGCAAAACGAAATAGCATATTGAAGAATAAAATTTAGCAATTTAATAAATAACGATGGATACGATCGGTAGTTGTGTATAGTAAACCAAAAAGAGATAAAATGTCATAATTTATTGAGTTTAAAATAAAATTGAAGTTTAAGGATTTTATGAGCAACTAACTTTTTAGAAGTCCAATAAAGTACTTAGTAATTGTAGTTATTTCCAGTAGATCAAAAGTAAATTAGACATCACAAATAATTATGACGTGTAAAATTTATTCTCGGCTACAAACTTCATCATCAGTGATAACAACTGATTAACTTTCCGTTTCCTACAAGTTAATACAAACTCCAAGTACTTTTTGCCTTGATTCAAAGTTAGTAGCTATTCATATGAATAATAAAGTTTCGCTTAATTGAAATCTTCCAAAAAGACATCTGTTCAACTTTCTGTTTCCTAGACGTAACTGTAAGTGCTAAATATTTTATTACATTTTTTAAAAATTAGTCGCTCATATAATCCTTATGTTTTTACCCATTAGCAACTTCAAAGATATTTTGATATTTAATTTTTCTTCATGCATTTAGTAAGAGCAAAAATTAATTCTATATGAGATGAAGCTTTGGACTATTTTAAAAGTAGCTTTATTTATTTTGATGGAATTCCGAAAAAAAATTTTTTTGGTAAAAAAAATTAATTTTAATAAAATAATATGAATTTTTCATAACTTTAAAATTTTTTCCGATTACCATTTTGATGTGATAGCTACTCTACAAAAGTTCTGTCAAAGGTTTCATCGAGATCAAGGATGATTTTGAAACGAACTTCTTTGTAAGATGTCCGAACCAATTTTTCGCTAATTGTCTTTGATCACTTTTTTAGTCGTATAGATCTGTCTATGAAGTCAACTCTAATTTTCGTTAAGCTTTTATGTTCTCTTTTTTTTATGAGAATTTTTTGTCGGAACTAAAAACTTTGATGATATGCTTTTCACTTTCCCGGTTAGGACCTTGGCGGAATTTGCAATAAAAATAATGTGTAGGGAAGTAGTTGTAACCGTAATAATGAAACTTTCAATTGCTTTTTCCAGTGTTGTCTTTCAGTTTTTTTATGTCTGGTGCAAAAGCGTTATTACCTCATTATTATTTTGAATTTTAATCTGAATATTTTACAAACTTGAAAAAAATTTAATTGTATTTTTGAAAAATTTTCATTTTATTTAAAAAAAAACAATTTTATTTTTAAGAAAATTTTATTTTATTTTAAAAAAAAATTTAATTTTATTTAAAAAAAAATTTGATTTTATTTTTAAAAAAATTTTATTTCAATTTAAAAAAAAATTTATTTTTAAGAAAATTTTATTTTATTAAAAAAAAATTTTAATTTTATTATTTATTAATTTACAGATTATCATACGGCAATGAAACCGGTCTAGCTATTGTGGATATCGTACAAAAAGTAAAACTACTAGTGATAAGTACCGCAGATATTGGTAATAATACAAGTGATCCATGTCAACGGGCACTACGCAGCCCCAAACGTCAAGACGACTCGAAAAAGGAGAATGACGACAAAGCACGCAGTCCCAGTATTGATCAGGTAAGTTTGTCTTCATATAATTTTAATTTTCAAAAAATCAATTCAAAATTTCGTTTTCTGTTAAAAATATTTTAAAAATTAAAGTTTTGAAAAATTGTATTTTTATTTATTGTTTTTTTTTTCTTTTTTTTTTCTGTAAAGTTTCAAGTAAAAGTTGAATTTTTATCAATTTTTCCTGCTTGTCCTGTAACTGTATTTAAATTATAATTCCAAAAAATATTTTGTAAAAAATCCAACCCTTCCAATAGTAAAAAAAAAAAAAGAGATTATTTTTTCAGTAGATCAATTGAAAAATTAATTTAATAGGTTTAAAAAGAGTTTATTAAATAAATCAACCAAAAATATATAATTAATAATACTTATGATTAAAACAGCGAGTACTATCTTGCAATTTTTTCTTTGGAGTTGCGGTATTCTAACATCAATTATAATAATATAAATATATTTTTAATTTATTATTATTCACTAGAGTAGAAATTATTTTATTTTTTAAATTAAATTTATTTGTAGTAGCGTTTGTTGTTTTGTTTTGGTTTGTTTTTACTTCTACTTAGAAGTCAATCAAAATAAGCTTTAAGTATTAGACAAAAAAAAATTTAGAACTGATTGACTGTTCCAAAGAAAAAAAAGCGTTATTAAAAAAAAAAAAAATAAAATAAGACAAAGAAAAAAAACAGATTCACCGAGAATCGGCAACAGACTACGAATCATTAGTAGCAGTAGGAGAAAAGGCTTCTTCTTGTACTTCCTTCCCTTTGCACCATCCTCAACAGCTGATGCACCTACCCCAACAACAACAACAACAGCAACAACAGCATCAACTTACCGACGATTGTCACGGTGTGAATAGCGAAACACGGGAAACAGATCCTAATGTGAAAGATGGTACATCATCAGTCTCAACAACACCAATTGCATTGCGAAAGTCTGGAATTTCTGGGAATGAAGATGAGACGCGTGATAAGAAAACATGGAAGTCATTTAGTCTGAAACGACAGCTTAGCAGAGTTGATATTAAAATCAAGAATACTTTTACGCCGTCCACAGCTTCAACAGCTTCAACGACCACAGCTACTAATGGGGTACTTGTGATAAAAAGAACATTAGTGGACTTGGTTTAAATATTTTTTTTTAATGCTATAATATATCAGATTGATTTTTAATTGTTTCAAAAATCAAAATTCACGTCAATACGCGTTAAATTATCTGAGGATAATTCAAAGTTATATCGGCTCAGATGGCCGATAATGGTTAATTCAACTGAACTGGATTATCACCAGCTTCAATATATTTAGATATAGCACACATAGCCTTTGTGTTGATGACAATCGAATCTTGCAGTCATATGTGTAGAATTTAGGATCTCAATACAGGATGTTGGGGTATTACTAGCCATTTCAATGGCATTAAAGTCAATCAGATTGAGTTATACTGTCCATATGCATCATGGATAAAGAGATTTTAAATATTACTCGCACTGAAAAAACTACTTGATTCGAAATTTCAATCTTGTTTTCTATGTGACTGTCCTGACTTGTGAAATATAAACAAATAAAATTTTGCTTTGTTAAATAATTACTTTTGTTAAATTGCACTGTACTTTATTAACTATAGACGTTTTTAAAGATATAAGCTCATCGCGATGTTACACTCATCATGAGCTTTCATTCGAGTACCCACATGCATTTTTGATATATTTGTCATATATACATATATATAATATATATATAAATATATAAAATATATGAAAAATTTATGTGGGTACTCAAATGGAAGGTCTTGATGTATGTAATGTCGGAGTGAGCTTATATCTTAAAAAATGTCAATATTTCACAAGATAGAAGGTCATTTCTTAATTATTGACATTTTTAACGATGTAAGCTCATTCCAATGTTACACTTATCAAGAGCTTTCATTTGAGTACCCACATGTATTTTTGATATATCTGTCATATATACATATATATAATATATATAAAATATATGAAAAATTGATGTGGGTACTCAAATGAAAGGTCTTGATGTATGTAATGTCGGAGTGAGCTTATATCTTCAAAAATCTCAATAGTTCAAAAGATACAAGGTCATTTCTTAAGTATGTATCTAGAGTATTAAAACATTTTACTCTTAAAGCATTTTTCTGTTTAAAAAAAATATACATGTATGGTTTATCCAAGAATTTTTATCTCTTGGATTAAGACACGCAGTAAAATTTTAGAAAAAATATTTTACAGTAAACATTAAGGTTTTTTTTTTCAGTACTTTGAATGAAAAAATTACTTAATAAAAAAAGAATATTGTTCCTTGAAGAAAATGAAATTATTGTTAATTTTGAAGTGTTGTTCTTTAATATAAAATTTTTTGAAGTCAGACAGCCGGTTGTCTTCAAAATCAATTGAAAAATTTTAGCTTGTTTAGTAAAATTAGAACAAGTTTTATTCACTCTAAGTTTGATCATTGAATTAACCTGATACATTGATAAATAAAAAAATCAATCTGATATAAAAAAACATATTTATTTATTTTTGATATTAAATTTGTTAAAGAATATTTTGAACTAGTCCAGTGAAAGAAATTCCGTTATCACTAAATAAAAAGTCATTAAAATAGGATTTTTATTAAAAAATAAATTATAACCCATAGAAACAAGCATCACAATCAACATTTTATCGCAATACCACTGAAGTATCATCACCAGAATTAAATGATGAAACAACAACCGGGTCAACAACAGTATTGCCATCATCATCATCATCATCATCATCTAGTCGAAGTCCTGGATCATCGCGTTCTCCACGCAGTGAGCAACGTGGCTTAACAACTGCTAGTGAATTATCAACAATATTAAGTCCTAGTGATGTGTCAGATGACAATGAAGACAGTGACAATAACAAAAAATTAATAAATCCATTTGCTAATAATCCAATACGACCTATTGATCTACCTCTGTTAGAAAATCATGATAAATTAATGGAATTACATAAAAAGCGTTTAAAAGGGCGACATATGAAGACACGTTTATTGTCAGTACCTAATATTAAAAATCAAAAATTAAATAGTAATAATGTTAATAATAATAATTTTTGCAATGAACAATCATTTAATAAAAATGATGATTTTTCAACGTCGACAACTGGTATGACATCTACCAACGAATCATTTGCCGGAAATTTAATGAGAAGATTCAGTAAGTGTTTAACAATAGATAGATTTATTAATTATTCAAGCAGTAATAATAAAAAAATTTTTTTTTTATTATTATTAGTTGATAATTAATGAGTAATTAATGTTGTGTAAAATATATATGAATGATTAACACGTTATGAAACACCAATAGAATTTTTTTTAACAGTTAATAACTTGAAATAATTTTTTTTTAAATTAGCATGCACAAAAAAGTATGAAAAAATTATTTTAGACGGACAAAATTGAAAGGCAGTGGAAAAAATATGCAGAAAAAATAATTAATTTTAATAGAAATAAATGTAATGTAGAGTCTCTTTTTAATAGTCAGTCAATCAGTTCAATAACCAATAAATGAATTTTCTAAAAAAAAAAATTTTAATTTTTATTTTTTTAATAAAATTAATTTAAAAAAAAAAGATAATTACGAATTTAAAAGAATACAGTTTTCTTCTGTAATTATAATTAATGTAAAAAAATCAAACATATATATATATATATATATATATATATATATATATATATATATATATATATGTAATGCTGTGGTTGTTTAGCGAATTGCATTTTAGGTGTACATAGATTTATTATTAGATGTAAACATTATTCCGAGGAAAAATTTTTTACATCTTTGTACATCTAACTTATTATTCAGAATTATAACAGATCAAAATGAATGTGAAAGTTTTGATCTTTATCATTGTTTTTTTAAATATTTTCATTGTCTAAAAAATGGTAAGTTAGATAGAAAAAAAATTACTTGAATCAAGTTAAGGTAGTTGTCGTGGTTAAGGCTTAGTGTTAGAAAATTATGAAATTTTTTTTATCGAAAGATAAATATATTAATAATAATTCATCACCAAAATTTCAGATAAATTCACCGCATTGTTTTTGAGTAATTAATTAATCTATAAATCTATTAATTATATAAATACATTATAAAAAATATCCAAATGCATTATAAAAAATGCAATTTAGAAAATTAATTACTCAAAAACGGTGTGGTGTATTGATCTGAAAGTTTGGTGGTGAATTATTAATATATTTATCTTTTGATAAAAACAAATTCATAATTTTTTAAGGCCTTAACCACGACAACTACCTTAATGATTTTTAAAAATTTAATCTTCTTGATTTGAGTAGAAAAATTCTTAAACTCATAAATTTTTCTTGGTTTAAGTAAATTTTACTTAATTCAAAAATTTTTCATCTTGATTCAAGACAATAAAACTCTTCAAAATTATTTTCTTGGTTCAAGAATTTTTCTTTTGATTCAAGTTAATTTTTTTTCAGTGTATCTACTTAAACGTAGGAAATTTTTTCCTGGGATATGGTAAAGCTTGTACATACTAGTTTCATACATAAGTATTTCATAATAAAAATTTAGGTTAGTCTTTAGCTTTGGTACAATTTAAAAGGTTTAGAAATGTATTAATCAGATTATATTAAATTAGGGAGTAATTTCAAATGTTGTACTTGTATATAAAAAGTTATTTATAATAAATAAAATTAAGGTTTAAGATTTTTTATCCATTATTATTTTTTCAGTAAAATATACTACGTATATAATGCATTATTATTGAATTAAATTAAATTTTTTTGGAAAAGTATCAAAGCATCAAATCATGTATTGATTATTTTTTATACTGATGACTTATAACTCAACTTTTGATCACAAAAAGTGAGAAATTTGTAATTACTATACATCAAATTTATATTGAACTAAAAAAATAAACTAGATTCTTGGATAAAAAATCTTTTTATAATGAAGAATATATTCTCTTCAAATAAAAAGTCGCAAACCGTAACGGTACAAGTAAAACGAATAACATAATAAAAAGAGGTAAAATTATTAAAAAATTTTTTTTCTTCTTCTTTCTCTTCTTTTACAGATTATACAAATAATGGTGCAATTTTCTAAAAGGATATCGTTTTGTTTACAAAGTTGGTACGAAATTTTAAAGGTACATTCATTAGAAAACGCTAGTAGTTTTTGTTGTTGGTCAATAAAAGTAAAGATATAAATAAGACACCGTAAGGAGAAGAAATAGGACATTCCAATCTGTAGATTAAATTGCTTAAGTAAACTTCGTTTTGCAACGAAGATGGCAAACATACGAATTGAGACGTCCTACTTCCGTGATGTGCATACCATTTTTTACCACATCTGATTTAAAAGTTCAATTTCGTTTGTTTTATCATAACAATTGTTACTTTTTACACAGGTGTAGTAAAAAATTGTCGCTAGCTAAGCTTTTTCCTTGAAGTTAAAATCAAAATCATAAATTCATTTTTTAATACTTAAAAATTAAATAATTTAATTTAATAAAAAAAGATTAAACGTGAGAAATTTATTCTTATGTACCGTATGTGTTTGCGCTTAGATAATAATTATAATTTTATACAAATAAATTAAATATAATAATTTTTTTTCAATCTAAAAAATCAAACGATTTTTAATCATATAATTTATTATAACAAATAAAAATAAAATAACAAAAAAAAAATAGAAAAGTAAAAAGTGTTAACAAGCAATTTATATTGCTGCTTAAGAAGTAAAGTGAAGAATATATTTACTAGTGATATTTTAGATGTATGGAATGGAAACATTAATAGTCGATGAAGATAAAATAAAAACAGTGCAATATTTGTTTAAAAAATAATAAATAATTAAAAACTCACAATTTTTTGTCCTATGTTATAGCATAAGGCATACAAAAGAATGCTTTTAATTAATTGCATGATCACAATGTATTGATAGACGAATGCGTAGAAATATAAATTACCCCCGTATATAAATATAACAATATTGACTATATGAATACAAATTTTATTTGTTTTTATCCTTGCTATGAAGATAATTGAAATTTGTTTAAACACAAAATTTCCAATTTAGGCTTTGAAGATTTTTATAGACTCCCTACTTGCTATAGTTTTTTTTTTTCTATTGAAGCTTGATGTAAATACGTTAATCATGGATTTGATAATTAACACTAAATAATTAACGAAGTAACAATTTAAATAAATAAATAAATTTCTCAATATTTTTTACGCTTTACAATTTATATGTATATTTATCGGTACCCAGAATATATTTTAAAATATTTAATAAATAATTAAACTTTCAAAATTGAATATTTAAAATTATTGCAATTTTTTATTTTAATAAATTTGGAGTAAAAATTTTATTTCCAAAAAAATGTGTTTTTTTTATTATTAAACTCTAAAAATTAAAATTTATATATTGTAAAGAAGAATATCCAATTTGAAGAATAGCAAAATAACTTCTTTGAAAATGTGGGTACCGATCTCTGTAAAAAAAATATTGAATCGTTGATAAAAAAGATAGCAGAATATTTAAAAAAAAAAAAATTAATTACTGCTGTTAACTCCTCAATAATTATATTGATATTTCTTCTCCAATTAGTTACAAAAAATATCTAAAAGTTTCCATCAATTAAGCTAACCATAACGCTTGAATGGAGCTTACCCTGTTGCAATATTTGGTTTGTGTTATTTTGTTTTAATTTTGTATTCGTTAATTAATTTGGTCGATTATTTCTGGAAAAAATTATTTAAAATCGTACAAAATTTCAATTATTTATTTATAATTTATTTAAGTATTCCAATATTCTTTTACTACTTGCCTTTGACCTAAAAATTTTTAATCATTGATCATTAAAATATAATACAATCATCTTTCTTCAGAAAATTGATGAATTCTTTTTTATTACATTATTATTTAAATAATAATTCTTATAATGAATATTCTGCAGTCTCTTTTATTGTAAAAATAAAAAATAACAGTTGTTTGTTGTTTTCTTTTTTCTCATCAGAGGTTTTTTTATCAAAGGGAAATCTAAAGTAAATAAATAGGAAAAAAAATGAATTTTAATTTAAATATATAATTATTTAATGACTTCATTATTTTTGGTGAATTTACAAATGTACTTCCGTGACTTAAAACAGATGAAAATATCTTCAATAAGAAAAACAAAATAAAACTAATTTAATTCTGCTAAAATTAAAACGGAATCTATATTATTAAGAGAATAAAAAAATTTTGTTTCTAGGATAGTCATATGATAAAATTGGTTTTTTTAGGAAAATTTAGTGCCATTGCAAAGGTCTTGATTTGAATTTGTGCCTTTTCAATGTTTCATTTCATTTTCATCGATAATCAATTTAATATGATAAGTATTTAGGCTGCATTCGAAAATGCTTTGTCTCAAGAAACATAATTAAGAAATGACCTTTTATCTCGTAAAATATTGACATTTTTAAAGATATAAGCTCGTCCCGATGTTACACTCATCGAGACCTTTCATTTGAGTACCCACATCAATTTT